GGGATCGAAACCGCATCCCCTTCACTGGAAGGTGAATTCTAAACCACTGCACCACCAGGGAAGTCCCAGAAAGTAGTTTATTGAGCAGTGCCTTCTAATTGAAAAATGATGGACTGAGTAGACAAATCTATCTCTGACCAAATCCATTGAGACTCAGCGTAGAAAAGAGATTTTAAAACAAATAAGTGGAATGCCATGCTACAAAAAGAGAAATCTTAGTAGACCTGAAACTGAGATACAGCCCTGAAAAAAAGGAACCAGATAAAAAGAAAGCAATATCAACAGATAAGCTGAAGAACTGAATGCAGACAGCTAGAGAGTGAGACAAGAGAATGCACTGAGGAAATCCCTCAAAAGACAGCACAATGCAATTTTTTTAAGTGACACTGTGGAAGGAGTTAAAATCACCAACATTTATCTAGTAGGCAATCTGGAAGGAGAAAGGAGAAAAAATGGAAGAGCAGTAATATTTGAAAAACTGGCTGATAATTTCCCAGAACTGAAGAAACAGTTGAGTCCTCAGATTGAGAGATCTCACAAAGTGGTAGGGGTAATTTTTTAAAATATACAACGAACAAATAAACAAATTTTAAAAGAAACCTAGATATATCAGAGTGATACCTAAGACCATCAGAAATAAAGAAAATTCTCAAAGAGATGAAATGCATTAATATACTGGAACTAAAATTCCAGAAAATGAGAATCAGATTGACTTCAGACATGTGTCATTATCCACAGTGCATATAAAAATAGAGAAACTTCTTCAAAGGGCTGAGGAAAAACAACTTTGAACCAGAATTGCAAGTGCAACCAAATTATCATCTGAACGAAAAGTTGTAATAAAGACCGTCTTGGACACACAGAGGCTCTACATTAATCACCACTGATCCTCTACTTAAAACAGACACACACACACGGTTAAATCTTTAATAGTTTGACCATAAAAATGAATTTATAATAACTTGGAACTAAATTTCGAGATGACAGAAACACGGGAGAGGAGCCAGGAAGAAATAACTAAAAAATCTTTCTCATTTGAATGGAGAATATAGATATTGATGATATTTATTTTTCTAATAAAATATTCAGTTAAAGGGTGTTCTCTAAGGGTAATGTACAGAATAGAACTAAAATAGACATTCGTGTCACATGACCTCCCACTCCTATGACAAACCTAAAAAAGTGTTCAAAGGTATTTTTTAAATTAATAATGGTATTTACAAGTTTTTGTAGGGACATGTACTTTTTTTTTTTTTTTTTGCGGTACGCGGGCCTCCTCTCCCGTTGCGGAGCACAGGCTCCGGACGCGCAGGCTCAGTGGCCATGGCTCACGGGCCCAGCCGCTCCGCGGCATGTGGGATCTTCCCGGACCGGGACACAAACCCGTGTCCCCTGCATCGGCAGGCGGACTCTCAACCACTGCGCCACCAGGGAAGCCCTTGCCCATTTTTTAATAGAGTCATTTTTCTTCTTCTTATTGGCTAAAATTCCAACAGGAACTCTGTGGTTTTCAGGAAAAGGAAAAAAGAAAAGGTAGTAATTAAAATGACAGTGCACTGGCACAAGATTCTATAAACAGATCCAATGTACTGGAGAGAGAGCCCAGAAATGCACTGTGCCTATATGGGAACTTGACCTATAATACCAGCATCATTTAAAATTGATCAGGAAGATGGAAATTATTCCACAAACGATGCTGGGACAATTGGTTATACCAAACTTAGATCCTTATCTCCTACCACATACAAAAATTAAATCACAGGTGGGCTCTATAGACTTAATCATCACTAAAATTTAAAATTATTAACCTTAATGAAATAATGGCTCTAAGTAATAGAGGAACATGTGTAAAGTCACCACAGGGATGCTGTCAACAAGAGCCAGACTCTGGGAAACCTCACAGGAGAAATAGCCTGGTTGTTTCAACAAATATATTACAAGGGGGTGGCAAAAGGAACAGAGGGGAACCTACCAGTTGAAAGAGATTTAAACAACACATCACTGTTGCAAGGTATGGACCTTATTTGAATTTCAATTCAAACTAATGGTTACTATACATATACATTCTGCGTATGTACTAAAAAATGTCATCCGAGCACCTGCCAAGGCACCATGCAGGGAACGACGGCATAGATAAGGAAAGGGGAGATGTAGGCATTCTCTGCTGGGGACACCACCACCTGCCCTGACTTCCACACAGATGGGGTTTGCTGTGAAGGCCAGAAACAGCAACTCCCATCCTGAGGGCAGGGTCCTCTTCACAACCTGGTCCTGGCCCCCCTCACCCAGGCACACAGTGAAGAAACGGTAAAAGTGCCCTCTTACTTCAGATGTCCCAGAGCTGAGGGACATAACTGTGACTGCACTTAGTCATCTCAGGACCCCAGTGCCTACCTACTGGGTGGAACAAAGGATGGATGGATGGATGGACAAGCAGATGGACAAACGGATGGATGCCCAACCTACCAACTGTATCCCCTGAATCCCATTAAAACTCAGGCCTCAATCCTAGTCCAATGCTCCCTGAAACAAACTGCAGAGAACTTGAAACATAGTTTATAAGGTTATACAAGGCCTAAGCTGGACAGGTCCTAAAGGATCATTTGTTCTAACATCTTCATTTTATAAAGCATAAAACTGAAATCTGTAGAGGACTATTTGCCCTTCTTCTTTAGAGGCAAAGTCAGGTCTGGAGCCCAGGTGTCTAAACTCCCAGTACAGTGGTTTTTGTATTAAGGGGTTATTCTTTAAAGTAACAACCCTTTTTTCCCTGTATTCTTAACTAGGTCATTCAACCAACTTTGTGGTGACCATCCTCTTACCCTCCAAGCGGTCCAAAGATTACTGGATTGCCAAGGGATCGGCTTTGCTCTGCCAACTAAATGAGTGAAAAGGTGCCACCTCTGTGCTTAAAAAGAACCAGGCCAGAGATCTTTCCTGATGGGGGAGAAAAGTCTGCGTAATTTATATGCGAGCAAAACAGGTTTACTTCTGATCTGGCTTAAAGGTAGCAAGTGTGGCTTTTATTTCTTTTATAACCTAAAATAAAGTGTTTTCAGTTTCTCTTTCTGGTGGTAATTCAAGCTCTGATGTGAAAGCAGTGAGTTCAGCACTCGCCTCTTAAGCCTGCTCCCCCTCCCCCATGCAGGAGGCAGCTTCCCATCAGTAAGGGGGGTGGCTGGGACGGGGGTGGGGGGGGGGGGGGGTGGCTGGGACAGGGCGGGGGGGGGGCTGGGGGGGGGGGGGGGGTAGGGGCGGGGAGTCAGACCTCAGTACTTCCTCATCCACATGGGCTTCCTTCCTCTTCACGCTAATGTGAAAGGCCCACTGTACACGTCAGTCTCGTGGCCCTAGGTTCTTCCATGTCTAGACCAGATTAAGGCTCAGGGCCCAACACATGAGATCTGGGCCCATGGTGCCATTCCCCCATGCTGTGGGGCTGGATTACAATCCTCAGAAGAGCCTGTGGTCTTTCACGATAGTGCAGGTCGCTCCCACTCAAGTGCAGAGGAATTTTCCGCTTTGGGGTAAAACTGTATGAAAACTGGCCAAGTCGCCCTCCAGGTGCATCGGCGCCCCTGCCACCTCAAAAGCGGTGCTGAGATGGAGCAGCCACTGTGGTTTGCAAACCATTTTGCATCAGCCCTGCCAACCGGGTCTGTTGCTTCCTCAGCCCGGATATGAGCCAAGAAACTGGGTACCACGCAGCTCGGATGTGGGCCTCTGGAGAAAGCCACGCCCCCTGCTTACAGGAAGAACAGGGTCAGCCACAGCAATCCTGTAGACTCAAGCCGCTGCGAAGCAGGGAGCACCACTTCTATTAGGAATCAGAGGGAAGAGGTGCCTCCTAAGTCACGGGAGTGGCTACAGCTGCAGAAGTCAGAGGGTTGACATTAGGCACCGCAGCAGCTGTAATCCGAGGTCAGAGAGCTGCAGGAAGCTGTGCCAGCCTCATGCAGAGCCTGGCCACCACACAAACTTGTGTCTGCTGGAGCCTGCACATAACTGCCACTTACGACCAAAGAAAAAGGTCTTCTGCCCCTTTCACCTTCCAAATCTCACTAAGTGTATCTCATTAGAAGACTCTCGATCATAGCAGCAAGGGAATCTCGGAAAGTTTAGCCCTCCTACCCCTGCAATACAGGGGACACAGAATGGAGCAAAGGTGGTGAACATGGATCCTGAGTGCCATCACATCACTCAGTGGGACTCAAAGATCTCCTTGGCCCTGGAAATGACCAAGAATGAACCCACAAGAAAGTCTCTGGAAAAAGGAAGGGAAGGCCACAGAACTGTAAGCCCAGACAATCAAGGTACCTGAAACCAGATACTTCTTATTGGCCCCATCCAAGTCCTGGGCAGACCCTCTGGGTTTTTGTGAGCTGCTCAGAGGCCCAGGAGAACCAAAAGGAAACTCTGCCACAGGCGGGAGACCCTGGTCTGTAACCATGGTGGCAGCAGGGGGAGGGAGAGGGGGGCGGGTATCAGCTGGGCAGGGCTGAAAGTTCCCATTTCAGACTCAACTAGGGAAATTCTATTTTTAATCATTTTATATACAGATTCTTCATAAGACTTTATTTGGAAAACACAAAGACATATAAATAATAAGTAACACACAGGACAGGGACGGGGAGAGAGGTTGAAACCCATTTTCTTGCACAACACCCCTGACAAAGCCTACCTATCCACCAGTCTTCAGCATGTGGATGAGACACCCTCACACACTGTACATAATGAAAGCACTTATCAGAGTGCAGGACCCACACTAGTCACCAGACCTTGAATAGAGAGGAGCAGAACAGAAGTTCCACAGCCTACTGACTCTGTTGCTTCCAGAACCAGGAGAGGATGGGGAGAAGAGCAGCAGGAAGGAGGAAAGGGGCAGGGTCCATGGCTGCAGGCAGGCCCAGGAGTGGGGCCAGGAGTGCAGCAGGGATAGTATTCAGAGCATGTGAGCAAAAAGAGTTGTTTGCTTGGTATACACATTGTGGCAAAAAATCTACACAAAAAAAGTATTTAATAATTTTCTTACAATTAATTATTTTCATACAGCTCATTATGTTACAAAACTATACACCTCCCCCAAGCATTGCTGGATAACCCAAAGTCATTCCTTGGAAAAAGAAGAATCAACGTTGGCTTTTTAATTTTGAGTCTCTTCTCCTGGGTTGGGCCTATCAGGGCCAGAGCACAGTGTGGAGTACAAAATGGCTGTCCTTCAAGTCCAAGGCGTCAGGTCTTGGCTTCTCTGGTCATTACAGGAGGGTTGTCTCTGTTTGGAAAGCCAGCACCAGCACCCATAACATAGGTGTCCAGACAGACAGGCAGGCACTGCTGACCACCATCTGACTGTGGGGAGACTGCCCAGGGCGAGGGAGCCGCAGCTCTGCGGAGATGCGCCTGTCCAGAACGGGGACCTGGAGCTGTGGGATCCCAGCATTTGGAGGCAAAGAAAGACAGAGTCTCAGGGCACAGCAAGAGCCACTGGATACTCCGAGGCCCCCAAAGGCCTGCACAGCTCCTTCTCACCTCTCTCCTCCAAAGACAGGAATGTATCTTAGTACGTTAACAGATTTCCTACGTCTTGGCCCTCATGACTACTGCTACAACAAAACCAAATGATACAGGCACGAAGACTAGCACACTGAACAACTCTCCCCCAGCTATTTGCTTCTTGGTTCAAGGATTATTAAAATTAGTTTGCTCAGACTTGCTAATTATCAGCCTCTGGGCAATGTCAAGCAGGGACCCTCCTCCCTGACCACACAGAGCGGCACCGCCAAGCCAGGAGGATTCCTCTCCGGGTCTCTGGCTCTCTCCCCTACCCCAGCTTGGGTGTCATGCGAACACCACGCAGCCTTCCCAGGTCAAGACAGAACAAGCGCGGTCTCACCTGGTCCTTTCAGCTCAGCTCTGGTGTAAAGTGCCCAATCCCTGCATGGCCACCTTGAAAGGAAATGGCCCAGACTGAGAAGGTACTAAACAGGTCAGTGTATTCCTCCATCAGTGAAGGATGGTTGAGGAGCCTCCCCGTGTCAGGCACCATGGGGCACATGGACACCAACAGGATCTGTCCCTGCTCTCCAGGTCACATCTGGCTGCCAGCTTCTGTCCATTTAAAAATGCAAACCCCACAGCACACGGGATGCCTGCCTCAAACCTTTCAGTGGCACCCTACTTCTCTCAGGCATGAGATTCTCACAGTCATTCCATCCAATTTACCTTCTAGACCTACCTCACCCCTCTTCCCACTGACCTCCCAGGCTCCAGCCAGAATTACTTCATCTTGGTTCCTTTAACATGATCACTCTCTCCACATCAGGCTTTTGCACTGTTCCCCTTGCTGGGAACTCCCGCCCCTCCCTGTTCAGTTGTTTACACATTCATTCAACATTCATTATTAAGCACCTATGCAGGTATCAGATGCCTGCATCTCCTGATCCAGACTCAGGAGCTCTCTTCATTGGGCTCCACTTTGTCAGGCTTCTACTCAGCAGCAACCAAAAGGTCGCTTCCTCCAGGAGGCCCTTCCTGACACCCGCCACCCTAAGTTAGGTAGTAATGTCCAACACACAAACACACACAACGCACGTCCCCGCAGCCCCCTACACTCCCCTTGTGAATAATCAACTCAAAATCCAGCTTCCTCCCCAGACTGTGAGCTCCATGAAGGCAGGGCCAGTGTCGGTCTGGTTCACCCCCAAAGCCACAGCACCAACACAACAGCGGGCACATAGGAAGAACTCAAAAAGTTTGGTATAAATTGAACTGTAGCCTGGATCCCAGGCCTCTCTGGTGTAGTTCTTCCAGCAGAAACCAGGCTGGGTCCCCATCTTTGGCTCCTCTACCCACCTCTGATCCACCCACTGGGCATCTCTGCAAGTGCACATTCTGTGGTCACCATGCTCCCTGCAAAACGTAGGGGCTGAACAAGCCCATTCCTACAGAGGTGCTTCCAGCTCCGGAAAGCTATGAGCGTCTCCCTGATCTGCGGTGGAGAAAGGGCTGGGAAATCAAGTTCTTCTCAACCTTTATTCCAGCCTCATACTAGTTTTAACAGACCCACCCATGCCCCCCGCCCCATCTGTTCGTTAACAGAGATAAATATGGGGTCCTGGCCCCGGCCCTGGCTTGAAGCAGTTACTTTTAATCTGGATTCGCCTCCACCAGAGTGGACAGAAGACCACTGTCCAGGCCATGAGGAACGAGAAAGGTTGCACCGTGATAGTGGGGCCACTCACCCCCTACCACAGCCTTGAACTTCCGCCCCTGAAGCAGTGAGACCCGCATTCCTGGGCTGCCGCCCACCCGCACTTCCGGGGTGAGGACTGACCGGGCGATGGGCTCGCGGCTGGCCCAGCCCGGCCCAGCCACCTTACCTCTCCTCCAGTCGGACTCACAGGTCGCTGAACTGCCAGAGCCGCTGCCTCCGCTGCGGCCGCCTCTGCTTCTTCCGGAACTTTCGTCGTGCCTCGCCCGGCAGGTAGGAACTTCTGGGCAGAGGCTGGTGGAGCGGCAACAGTGGGGGCCCGGCAGACCCAGCTTCCGGTACCTGAGCTTCCGGGGCGGGCGCTTCCGGAGCCAAGACGGCAGAGGGGGTGGGCTGTGACAACCGGTTTCTGGTCTTTTCTCTGTAAACAGAGGAGGAAGGAAGAGGAATTGAAGGAAGGTCCCCCAGCATGATGCCCTCCCCCGCCTTTAAGGCTCGGGACCTCACAAAAGGCAGATAATGTGAAAGTTCAAGACGGATGGGGAGGCAGGGGTCTCAAAATCACCTCGAAAAGTGATCACTTTGACGCCTTTGTTTCTCCCTCACACACCTTCATTGTACTCTCTCCAAATCCCCTAGCTCTGGGGAAGAAATAAAAGATTCTTTCTTAACCGCTTATAATTACTGCACTTGCCTAACAACGGGTCACCACTGCCTAGAAAGTCACTGAAGATTACGGCGTTTTAAGAGGAGTGAAAAATGTTTAAATGCTCTTTACTTAGAACAATTGAAGTGGCCCTTAACCCTGTTCCTCCCTCCTGTATCCCTATAAGGCCTCTGCTCAGAAAGAGGCTCTTCAACAGCCACAGCAGCCTGCCCAGATCCCTCAAGGATTATCACATGGCTGCCGAGAAGGGGAAGAAGAAAGGAGGTATCTCCACAGCCAGTGCCCTCGTTATGTCCTCACCCACTCCTTCACTATGGGCATCTCCCTGGCTCTGGGCCCAGAGTCCCTCGCCCCTTCTTCTCCCTGAACAGGAGCTCCTTTAGGGACCTCATGCTCTCTCATGACCTCACCCAGGAGCACCGTAGAGAAAGAAGTGCACCACTGAAAACTCTTAGACGCTACCCTCACAGAACACAGTCAGGACAGCTGCTGCAGCCATCCCCAGGATCGTGGGAGAGGGTGAACCCAGGCCTTTGCACTGGATCTCACAGACTCTGATGGAATTAAGGGTAGGGGCACTGAATAGATCCCTGGCAGAGAAAACTACATGAACAGAGAGAAAGGGGCTGGAAAGCTAAAACTGGGAGAAGAAAGGGCAGAAAGAAAAGGGCTGTGCAGGCGAGGAGTCCGAACTGTATCCTGACTCTGACGAGCTGTGTCACCTTTGGTTTCTTCATCAGTAAAGGAGAAGAAACCCCCACCCCACAGGCTGGTGTTGAGGGTTAACTGAGAGTCGGTGTGAACCAAGTTACCACCTGACAACTGATCAATAAACGTTCCTTCCTCCCCAGGGAAGTGTGAGCAGCCCAGTAAATGACGGGACTGGTTCTCAGCCTTCATTGTGTGTCAGAATCTCACGGAGAGATTTTTTATATATTGACTCCTGACCTCTCTTCCCCCAGGGGCAGGTGTCAGGGTTAGAGGCAGATTTAAGGAGTCTGAGAACAACCAGCAACACACACACACACACACCCATCCACACTCCCAAGCGGGGCCCTCTCTGGCAACCCCAAAGATAGTGTGATAAACCCCAGCCGTGACAGTCAGCCTGGGGCCAGGGGCTGAGAAGTGATCAGAGGGCCCAGCCCACCCTGCTTTCCAAGAGCACACAGTCCAGTGGGTGAGGAAAGATCCACAGATCCTCTCCCCCAAACAAGCAGAGAATCCCTAAGGGCGGGGCTCTCCCCCCAGAGCTGAAGGAGAACGGGAGGGAGAGATGGATGGAGATCTGCAGCAGGACTTTCTCAGTCAGGGGAAGAGTGGAGGGAGACTGCAGACAGTGGAAAGGAAGAGCATTAGCAAAGGTGGAGAGGCAGCGGCGAGGACAAAAGGTTTTCTGATATCAGAGGCGGATCCGTGCTGGGAAAAGTTGGGGTCTGCGTGCCGAGGCATCATCATGAAGAAACTGGACTTTGGAAGAGGACAACAAGAAACCCTGAAGGTTTCTGAGTCAGGGACACTTGCAAGATTAGTCCCACAGAAAGGTGGAGAAGGGACCAGAGGGTGATGACCTTAGGAACAAAGGGGGCAAATCTGAGAGAGATTTTAATGGAAGAAGCCAGAGGCCTGGTGAAGGTGGAAAATGAGAAGAAGTCTTAGGTGAGGGCTTTTGTAAACTAGAAAGTACTGTGTGAAGAACGGCTGTTACTGATAAACGGAGTGCAAGATATGGAGAGAGGTGGGGGATGAGATAAGCCCAGGATGTAGTCAAGTTTTCCAGAGAATCATGGCTCATTGGGATGGAAAGCAGGCTCCCAAGAAGGAACCTCTGGAGTGACGGGATAGAGGAGGACCTGGCCTGAGACAACATGAGGTGAAGGTGGGTCTTCCGAGGAGAAAGAGGGCACCCGGAGACCTGGAGAAGGGAGCCATCGGGCAGGCACCACAGCTGGACCCCGTCTCCGTCCCCTCAGCAGAGGGCATGTATTTTCCTCCTGGAGTCCTCGCACCGCAGCTGAGGGCTCTGCCAGGAGGGGGCGCTGGTGACCACGATCTGGAGGGAGTGGGAGAGGAATGGAAGGTGGGCTGAACTGTGTTCGCTCAAAATTCACATGCTGGAGCTCTAACCCCCAGTACCTCAGAATGTGGCTGTATTTGGAGACAAGACTTTTAAAGAGGTGATTAAGTTAAAATGAGGCCTTTAGGTTGGGCCCTAATCCAGTCTGACTGGTGTCCTTAGAAGAGGAAGTGTGGACACACAGAGACACCAGAGTTGTGCGCACACCAAGGAGAGGCCGCATGGGGACAGTGAAAAGGCCACCTGCAAGCCAAAGAGAGAGGCCTCAGGAGAAACCAAACCTGCCGACACCTTGATCTTGGTGTCTAGCCTCCAGAACCATGAGAAAATAAATTTCTATTGTTAAAGCCACCCAGTCTGTGGTATTTTGTTAGGGCAGCCCAGACTGGTACAAAGTGGGTAGGAAGGGCCACCTTGTGCCCACTAGGACTGGACACGGGGCAGAGACTAGCAGGGAGGCCAGCATGGGGCAGCAGCATTGATGAGGGTGGGAGATCCTGGCCTCCTGAATTCTTTACAGAAGGGGCCACAGGGCAGGAGGGTGACTCTGCATAAAAATGAGAAGTAAACAGACCTGGGGGTAGGAAACAGCTCAGAGAAAGAGAAGGGGCTTTGCTTCCACGCGGGAGATGGGTCTGACAGGCACTCCCAGCTTCTGAGCCCCCCTGGCCTTACATTATGACTGCTTCCACCACCTGCCTCCCTAAAACCTCCCAAGGGCCCAGGTCAAAGGCACTGAGCGTTAAGCCAAATCACCCCTCCTGGGCCCCAGGACCAAAGAGCATCCTCCCCTTACCTTCCTTTCTGCCCCAAGCACTGCTGAGGAAAGGCCAGTGTGGCCTCTACTGCCCGAAGTGCCTGGCCGGCCAACCCAAGTCTGACACAGTCCCAGCCACGAGGGGACGCCAGCTGAGCTGGGGACCGAGTGGCTGCTTGGTGTCCGTGCTGGGGCCCTCGGAGCCTCTCAGGACACAGCCCACCCTGGCGCCCAAGCAGCCCTGTGCGGCTCTCAGCTCCCCTAACTGCTTCCTGACCGGGATAGAAGCACAGGAAGGTTACTTGTTGATGGGTCGTCCAGCGGGGGCGTGTTCTACCTCATAGCCTTCGCACCGCAGAACATCAAGAACTGTGTTGTTGCCCATGAAATGCCCTGCAGTAAGAAAAATGATCAGAAATGTGGCAGCTCTCGTGACCCCTAAACACACACCCCAGAACCAAGAAATAACTCTGCCAACCCCGTCCCTTCTAACCAGCCCAGTACAGTTCAGAAAGCTTCTGCAAGGGGGCCTCTCAACAGCTCTGCCAGGATAAGCCGCGTTTCAGAGATAAGGACTCAGGATCAGAACCATGCGGTGAGCTGCCTCGAGTCACACAGCTAAGAGGACACCAAGTCCCAACCTTCCACCTCTGGATCCAGAGCTGACAGTCCTGACCATTCTCGTTTATGTAAACCAAGCACCTCTGAGACCCCAGGCCCCTTCTGTCCTATGTCTACTTAAAAATGCACAATAAAACCCTCTTTTTAGCAGAAGCCACCAGAGCTGGAAACCTCAACCTGAATTTTATTTCACTTTTTTCTTTTTCAATAAAAAGCAGGAAATATCAACCAGATAAGCTTACAGTGGCATCGTAAAATAAGTATCTTAAAAGGGTAGATCCTGGGATTCATCTTCTTTCATTTCAGGTTTTGATGCTCAGAACTGACATGATCCTCTGGGGTCACAATGCCCCTTTCTGTGACAGTTGTCATGTTAATGTCCTCAATGGCTAATTAAATTGCAGCGCTCCATCCTCTGATCCAGCAGAACAGATGCATCGTTATTATCTCCATTTGAAAATGGAAAACAGGTAATGTAGGCTCAGGACTTCACACACAAAAGAAGCAGCAGAACAGAATCTAAACCCAGGCAGCTTGGCCCCAGAGTCTATGCAATGTTGACAACCGAATACTCAAGAGGCAGAGACCAGGAAAGCAAATTAAGGTCCATCCAAACTCTCCCTTGTCCTGACTCCACAGCACTAAGAAGCAGAGGGAACTTAGAGCAGCCTCTGGGAGCCTGGGGAGCCCGAGGGTGGTGTTTGGGGCAGAAGGTACTGGGCTCTACTGCATTCTTGGGTCCAACCGTAGAGTTTAGGACCCCAAGACTGATGAAGGGCAACTGACTCAGATGAAAGGGACGTTGGCAAGGCCCAGATTAGCCCCGGTGCAGAAGCACAGCAAACTCATGTATAGAGTATGCCTGGACTCGGGGCCGGGGGAGGAGACTGAGCTTGCAGAGTGTTGCGGCGATGGCTTCCACTCTCCCAGCCGTTACCAAGTCTATGTGACAGGGAGTAAACACAATAATAAAGATAGTTAACGTTTCCTGAGCATTACGAGGTGCAGGGCACTGTTCTCAGTGCTTTACATGTCATTCAGCCTTCCCCCAACAACAACCCTATAAGGTAGGTGTATTATTACCCCCATTTCACAGATGACGAAGAGGCACAGGTGGTGCCCAGGTGGTCTGGCTCCAGCGTCCATGCTCTCAACCAATTAGGAATGAAAACAGGATTTGTCGAGCGAATGAACAGCCCCTATTAGCAATCTTTATCATTAAGGACCAAGCTATTCTGTGTGACTTCAATTTCCTTCTACTCCAAAGGTGAGCTCCATTCCTCATCTTTAAATTTCATCTGCATATCCCCATGACAGACGTCACTGTTGCAGTTTAAACCTCTGGAGCTTTCAGTTTGGGGAGATCCTCACTTTACAATCAAAAGTGTGCTAACCACACGGCATTTTAAATTTCTCACTGCCAAGGCTAAGAGTTTGGGAGCAATTTCTGAATTTCTGTGGTTCCCTCTGGTCAACTCAGCCTTCAGAAGGCACCAGAAGAAATAGACTCATGAGGTGGAGAAAGCAGCCCCACGAAGATAACTGCACCGTGGTGGCTATGCAGGACACTCCTGATACCCAGAGTGCCCAGGGGCTGTGAGGTCTCTATCCAGAGCTGCAGCCGTATGAAGAACCATGACTGAGAATCAGGCAAGCCCAGGTGTCCCAGTGTCACCTGTGCCATCTGTCCAGCACAGTCTCCATCTGGAGGGCTGGCCCTCCAAACTGCCCAGGTCCAACCCACCTGGCAGGCCGACATCGTCTCAAAGCCTCTCCTTGCCCCTCTGGGGCCTGACGCCTGTCGGGGTGCCTGCAGGGTGAGGGCCGACAGCTGAAAGCCATTCACTGACACAGGCCGGACATGGGCACAGCGCCACACGGCACAGTCCACAATCCAACTACGGAACACGGGACTCACGGAGGAGGAAGCCACTCCCAGACCCACCCAGGGCTACCAAGGCCGACACTGCGACTTGTTTCATGATAGAATTTTTCAAAAAACAAGATACAGGAACCTGACCCCTTATTTTTTTCTACAACAGCTTTATTGGAATATCATTCACATAACATAACATTCATTCTTTTCAAGTGTACGATTCAGTGATTTGGGGAACATTCACAAAGTGGTGCAACCCTCACCACTAACTTTAAAGCATTTTCGGGAGCTGAGATTTTGATAGGGCTTGCGCTGAATGTGTAGCTCAATCTGGGGAACGTTGTCATCTTAACGCTATTTATTATGTCTTCCAATCCACAAACATGAAATGTCTTTCTATTTACTTCGGTCTTCTTTAATTCCTTTCCATGATGTTTTTAGTTTTTATTTTGCATCTGCTCTTCACTAAATTGAGTCCTTAGTGTTTTTTATGCTGTTGTAAATGGAACTGGTTTCTTTTGTTTTAACTTATATTTTTTCTTGAAGTATAGTTGATTCACAATGTTGTGTTAGTTTCAGGTGTACAGCAAAGTGATTCAGTTTTATACATATATATGTAAATGTGTATGTATGTGTAAATATATGTACATATATATTCTTTTCTGATTCTTTTCCATTATAGGTTATTACAAGATTTTGAATATAGTGGAACTGGCTTCTTAGTTGCATTTCCACATTATTCATTGCTAGGGTATAGAAATACAACTGGTTTTTGTGTATTGACCTTGTATCCTGAACTCGGTTATTAGTTCTAATAGGGGTTTTTTGTGGATTACTTAGGATTTTCTATCCACAAGATGATGAAAAAATAGATGGTTTACTTCCTCCTTTCCAATGTGAATGCCTTTTATTTCTTTTCCTTATCTAATTACCCTGGCTAGAACCTTCAGCACAATGTCGAAGAGAAGTGGTGAGAGCAGACATCCGTGTCTTGTTCCTCATCTTAGGGGGAAAGCATTCAGTCTTTCATGATGTCAACTATGAAAAGATGTCAACTTGATGAATGGATAAAGAAGATGTGGTATGTGTGTATATATATATATATATATATATATATATATATAAAATGGAATATTACTTGGCCATAAAAAAGATGATGTCAGCTATGGGTTTTTCATAGCAACTTTTTTAACAGGTTGTTAAAGTCCCCTTCCATTCCTAGTCTGATGAGTGTTTTTATCATGAAAGAGTTCCATTTTGTCAAATGCTTTTCTGCATCCATTGAGATGATCATGTGATTCTTGTCTTTTATTCCATTAATATGGGATATTACATTAATTGAGTTTCAGATGTTGTGGTAAGCTAAATAACGGTTCCCCAAAATATATCCAGATCCCAATCCTTAGAACCTATGAATGTCACCGTACATGGCAAAAAAGGGGGGTAGGTGTTTTGCAGATGTAAGTAAGCTAAGGATCGTGAGATCAGGAGATTACACTGGATCACTCATTCTGCTATTCCGGAAGTGCTTCTCTCCAATCCCCGCATTTTACTGGTAAGAAAAAAAAAAACTAAACGGGGTGACTTGTTCAAGTTTATGAAGCTAGTGGAAGGATTGAAAAGAAACCTAGACCAGCAAATACACACTTCTGCACACTACCCAGCCTCCGGCATTTCTGTCCTTAATTCTGGAGGCTGCAAAGGTATGTTAAAATCACTCAAGAAGGTAAGAGAATTTATTTCAAAAATCCCACAAAAGGAAATAATTTTCCCAGTGTATTTCCATGTATACTACTCATGGTTAATAATAGCTGCTGTATCAGCCCCCAGCCTTAGACTTAGGACGCTCACAGTCAGGGAGGAGAGAGAAAACAGACAAATTTTAAGGGAAGTTAAAAAACAGAAAGGTGCCAGTAAGAAGTTGGGATTAAGTGCTGAGTTCAGAAGAGGGAGAAATGCCTCCCTGGCTGCGGAGTGTATCAGGAGCCCCACGTGGAGGGAGAGCTAGTGTCACAGGCACCAAAGTTTCAACCACGACGGATACTCTGACATCATCAAAAAGTCAAAGAAGGTGTCACTCCTCTCACCGCGTAGCAGGACCCACCTCAACACCCCCTCCTCGGGAGAAGCAGCAGAGCCCTGGGTCTAATCAGAGGTAGCCTGCAACTCGCCGGCTCCAAAGGCAAAGAAAAAGCCTTTGTCAGGGAACTCCTCCAAAAGGGCCTTCACCCGCTTCCCCATTCTCTAGTTCCGCTTGTAGATAAGCTCCCAGCGGAAGTAGCTGTCGATCTCCTGAGCAGCGATGCGCTCCGCAGGTGGTAGCGTGGCATTAATAAAATTGGGAACCTCCGCCAAAATAAAGAGAAAACAATTAAGGGCAACAGAGTTATGAACAAAGCTGCTTAATTTGAGCATCAAATCACCCAGGCCAGAGGGTCAAGATGCTGTCAAGAAAAAGGTAAAAAGTGACACACGATTCTGGGAGCCTCCTGCCGGCTATTTTTCCAGGCAGTAATATCATTCTCTGTAACCCAAGTGAGAAAATATTAAATGAAGTGCCCTGAAAGAACTCTTAGGCTATGTCAAACAGTATTTCTGTTCCATTTAAATGATTCTGTTTGGGGAATTCCCTGGCGGTCCAGTGGTTAGGACTCCTGGCTTCCACTGCAGGGGGCACAGGTTCAATCCCTGGTTGGGGAACTAAGATCCCGAAAGCCACACGGGCAGCCAAGAAAAAAAAAAAATTCTGTTTGTTGCCACGTGTTTCTATAAGGAAACCATTTCTGTGCATAGCACGTCACAGTTGTGTTTTTTTTTTAATTGAAGTATAGTTGATTTACAACATTGTGTTAGTTTCAGGTGTACAGCAAAGTGATTCAGTTATACATATAGTTTTTTCCAATATAGGTTATTACAGGATCTTGAATACAGTTCCTCGTGCTATACAGTAAATCATTGTTGTTTCTCTGTATTATGTTTAGTAGTTTGTATCTGTTAATCCCAAACTCCTAATTTATCCCTCCCT